CAAAAGTTCTGTTAAACTTAAGCTATCTCTTTTTCTTTTCCTTTTTATTTTTTGAGAAAGAGTCTAGCTCTGTTGCCCAGGCTAGAGTGTAGTGGCACTCACTGCAAGCTGTGCCTCCCAGGTTCATGTCATTCTCCTGCCTCAGCCCCAAGTACTGGGACTATGGGCACCCGCCACCACCCCCGACTAATTTTTTGTATTTTTAGTAGAGACGGGGTTTATACCGTGTCTTGATCTCCTGACCTCGTGATCTGCCCGCCTACGGCCTCCCAAAATGCTGGGATTACAGGCGTGAGCCACAGCGCCCGGCCTCTTTTCTTTTTTTTTAGAGACAGGGTCTCTCTGTTGCCCAGGCTAGAGTGCAGTGGCGCTATAATAGTCATAGTTCACTGCAGCCTTGAACTCTTTTCCTCAAGGGGTCCTTCTGCCGCATGGGGTGGGAAGCCATTGCGCTGGGGCAAACTATCTTTTTTTTTTTTGATACCCAAGTAAAGATGTAACATAAATAATTGTATATATAATTCTGGAGATTCAGGGATGTGGGTTATTTCCATGGCTGGAAATAAGAATGGGGGAGTCATCAGTGTATAAAAATTACTTTTAACTAAGGCCCTGGATGAGATTCCCTGAGAAGAGAATCTGGATAAACAAAAGAAGAGAGTACATACCCAACCTCTGGAGCACTCCAATAGAGATTAGGTATAGGAGGAGGAAAACAGAAAAAAACAAGATCAGACCACACAGGGGTAAGAAATCCAGGAAAGTGAGGTATCATAGAAGCCAAGAGAAGGAAGTTGTTGTTGTTGTTGTTGTTGTTGTTGTTGTTTTGAGACAAGAGGTTTGCTCTTGTTGTCCAGGCTGGAGTGCAATGGCACGATCTCGGCTCACTACAACCTCTGCCTCCCAGGTTCGAGCAATTCTCCTGCCTCAGCCTCCCGAGTAGCTGGGATTACAGGCATGCGCCATCACACCTGGCTAATTTTGTATTTTTAGTAGGGACGGGGTTTCTCCATGTTGGTCAGGCTGGTCTGGAACTCCAGACCTCAGGTGATCCACCCGTCGTCTCGGCCTCCCAAAGTGCTAGGATTACAGATGTGAGCCACCGTGCCCAGTCCTTTGATTTTGACACAATCAGAAAAGAAAGTTTTTAAACCAAGGGTGGTCAGGTTTTTTTCTTTTCTTTTCTTATTAAATGTTGCTGGAAAGTTAAATGATACCAGAGAAGTGACCTTTGGAACACTTGGCAATGTTTGGAGACATTTTTGGTTATCATAATCGGGAGTGAGTTGCTACTGGCATCTATTGGATTGAGGTCAGGGATGCTGCTAAATATCCAGCAATGCACAGAACAGCCTCCCTCAACAAAAAGTTATCTGTCAACAGTTCTTTGGTCTGACTTCGAAAATTCATGCTGGCCGGGGCTCAGACCCAACATTTGGAAGGTCAATTTGGGAGGATGGCTTGAGTTCAGGAGTTCATGATTAGCCTAGGCAACTTGGTGAGATGCCATCACTATTAGATTTTTTTGTTGTTGTTTTTTGTTGTTGTTGTTGTTTTAAAATAACAACAAGCCGAGCCTGGGCCTGGTGTCTCATGCCTGCAATCCCAGAATTTTGGGAGGCTGAGGCTGGTGGATAACTTGAGGCCAGGAGTTTGAAACCAGCTTGACCAACATGGTGAAACTCCTTCTGTACTAAAAACACAAAAATTAGCCAGGTGTCGTGGTGTGCACCTGTAATCCCATGTACTCAGGGGCCTGAGGAGAATCGCTTGAACCCGGGAGGCAGAGGTTAAAGTGAACTGAGATAGCGCCATAGAACTCCAGCCTGGGCAACAGGATGAGACTCCATCTCACAAAACAACAATAACAAACTCCCCAAAATAGCAGCTTAATAATATAGGCTAATCATAAACATAATAAATATAGCCTAATGTCATATGTCTAATAATAAACATAGCGTGGCTGGGCCTGGTGTGACTCACACCTGTAATCCCAGCACCTTGGGAGGCATATATGGGAAAATTGCTTCAGCCCAGCAGTTCCAGATCAGCCTGGGCAACACAGAAAGAACTTGTCTCTACAAAAGATTATTTTAAAAATTAAAACAAAACAAAACAAAAAAACCCATAGCATACCAAATAGAGGGCTCCTAAATTATACTTAGGTTCAAATTAACACCTCAGCCGAATACTGTTATTTTGGGGAAGTTACTTAATCTCAGTGCCAGTTTCCTCCTTTGTAAAACAGGAATGAGATAATGGATTACAAAATGCTTATTAGCCCAGTGCCTGGGAGAAGGTATAGTCAATGAACGTTGTGATTACAATTGACTAGATAGGCTGAATACGGCCTGAAGGTAGCAGATTGCTCTTTACTTTTCTAGAACCTCCCCTATTCTCCCCAAACAACCCAATTATCTTTTAATATGTTCTTTCTAATCTGATATGAAACAAGAAATCAGATATCCACCCTTTAAAAAATTGGTTCTAACATTAGTTTTAAATGGATTTCTGCATGTTGATGGCTTAGAGGTTTTATTAACTCCTAGATTCCCAGTAATGTTCCTGAACAGTTTTTTTAGCCACTTGACAAATGATAGGGAAGTCAATAATTTAATCATGTAATTATCAACCAAGATCAGCTAAATAAATCAATAATTTAAAAAATATAATCTTCATACATTAGCAGTTTTGCCCCATTAGGATATCACATCATTATTCAAAATAATAATAGAACAATGTGATAGAGGCTAGGGAATCTGAAATAGGTCAAGTAAATATTACCATTTTTTCCGAGCACTAAATCTTCCAGCATTCCAATATTGGCCACGAGCAAATTTAGCTGCAGATGAGATTTACATTCTATTATCAGAGCGTTTAGCAGAGTGTTTAGCACAGTGAGTACTCGTTGGCTCTGTCTTCACTCTTGTTGACTCCCAACCTCTAGAATGTTCTCATGCCTAGGCCCCATATCCTCTAGTATTCTAGAGGTATAGGACTGGATTATATGTGATATCAAGTCTTGCTTTTTTCACTCAAAGATATTTCTTCTAGTCCAGAGAGGTTAAAAAGAGGAAGTAACTTTTTAACAAGGATAACTGGGAGTTCTCTAACTGAATCCATAGGGCTTTTTAGAGGTTGGGTTTTAGTGAGATACAAGCTTGCTCCCATCTACCCTGGATAAGATCTTCAGAGGGGAAGACACTCATGGAAATAATTATGTCAAAAGGTTGTCTTTAAATCTTGACCTGAAAGTATTATTGCATTTCCTGGATAATGTAGGGAAGGCAAAAATTTACCTACAAGGTGGATCTCCTCCATTAGACTGTAAGTGCCATGGGGGAGGGATTTGTAGTGATATTGTCAGTATCTAGGCAAGTGCTAACACTTAGTGAGCTCTCGGTGTAGAATTTGGTTCAGTGTGTGCACTGAGGTTTAATAGTTGTGACCAAATTTTTAAAAACTTAAAAAAAATGGAATTAATTTGTGGGGCTATTTGTGTGACAGACTGTAGTTTGTTTAGCCTGTGGTTAATATTTAAATCCACAATCTACTGCTATCAAAAGAAGGAATCCTGCGATGGAATCCCAGCTATACTATTACTCCCGAGGGATCTTGGAAAACTAAATTTCTGCTTTGAAAAATGAGGAAAACATTTTCTATGAGCTCTGAAATTGTTTCTATGCCTAATATATAACAGGTTCTCAATATTTGTTGAATAAGTGATTCTATATTGCACTCAAGATTCCATATTTAATTAGTAAAAGTCTGAAAGATATTGCTCAAAAGCCTTTATTCTATCAAGTTAGCAAAATTTCTGCAAACTATTTCTTGGTAAACATTTTCAAACTTAGCAGTTTTAATCAAATATTTAATGAAATGAAAAACTTCATTTTTGTGTATCTGATCACATAAGCAGCAAGTCTCCCCAATTCCTCAAGCACTTTAAATAATTTTGCCAGATATCACTGATCAACTTTTAATGACTCAGCCTGAGAAATAAAAAATCAAGTATGAAACCAAATTATTGCACTTGGTACATTACAAATCACATAAATTGAACTATACTAATTGCTGATATTGAACGGTTTTTGACCTCCAAAAATGGCAATTTTTATATGGCTCACACTAAATATGTTTAGCATTAAATAATGTGTTTTAAGAAATATTACAATAGGGCTTCTAAAGCCTCCCAGTTCTCTGTTTTACTCTTATCATCTCCTGTGTGTTAGGGGTGTGGCAGGTATTTTTGGAGAATTTCACAATCTTATATCTCTCCTACATAAAATAGGCAACTTGTAGTTTAAAAAGAGTATAAATTAGTAGTTTTGTTTTGGTAACTATCCTAAGGGGCTAGTACGAATAACCAAACCTTTTATAGAGAGAATACACTGTAAGTTCCTTAATGTTCCTCAATTGTTTAGGTCAGTGGTTCACAACCTTTAACGTTCATGACAACCAACAGAGAACTTGTTTCTGGGCCCTATCCCCAGAGATTCTGATTCAGTTTAGGTCGGGGTGGGGCCCACCAATTTGACTTCCTAACAAATTCACAAATTATGCTACTGCTGTGGGTACTAAAACCACTTTAAGAACCACTGATCTGGGTATAGAAGAAACTATTTATAAGCAGGCTTTTTCTTCTTTTGGTCCTTAGGTAAATAAAACTCAAGTTGATGAGGTATGATTTTTACCTTAAATCAAAACCATTTTTGGTAAAGTACTACCTTAGCTCTATTGTAAGGTAAGTGTAAATTAGATTTGCTTTGACTTAGCTGCTACAGACCACAATTACAGGATAACTAACTGAGGAATTTATTCACTTGTCCCTTCTTTTGAACCTCACTGTGCTCTGGCATGCCAGGAGGTGCAACGGTCGTCCCAGCTTTGCACTTGGCGCTCCAGGCCTGGGTCATTTCACTTGAGTTATCAGAGGCAGCGCGTCCAGTTTGACAAACTCTGCCGGAGGCTCCTGATAGAGAAGGGCGTGGGCGCCAATCTAGGAGACAAAGCCTGACTCGTTGCGAAGAGCCAACCCAACCCCATCCACGAGTCTTATTTCCAGGGACATTTTCGGAGCCGAGGGCGCCTCTGCAAGAGCACTGCTGACAGGTTCCGACTCGCGGGAGATCGCGCGACGAATCTGCGCCTCGAACCCTCGCTTTCCAGCAGTCGCCGGATTGCTGCCCCACAGGGAGCCAACCCGCCCGAGGACCAGCCCAGCAGGGGCTCTCTGAATTCGTAGGCTGTGCAGGCGGCGAGCTCGCCCACACATCTCAGCCCACTCCCTCGTCCTCCTCCCGGCGAAGATGTCCGCCAAGCCTGAAGTCGGCTTAGTGCGCGAGGCTTCTCGGCAGATCGTGGCCGGTGGTTCTGCAGGTAAGGCTACCCCGCCCTGCCCCGCCGGAGGCTAGTTGCTTTCCCCACCGCGTGTCCTGAAAACGTTTCCCAGATAGGTCTCCCTACTGAAGTTCCGCCGTCTTCCTCAACATTCCGCGCTCCCGGAGCAGTGCCTGAGCCCCTGGAGGCGCGAGAGCAAAGGAGGCCGGGAGCTAACGGCGAGTACCGGGTGCCCCAAGCAGTGTTGCCTCGGCGTCCGCGCCGGCCGCTCTCGGGTTCCCGGCATTCTCCGTTCCTAGCCTGTAAAGCAAGTGGGAGAGCCCCAAGGGCAGCGACTTTGAGGCGGTCTTTTTGTCTTGCAAGCTATTTTACTTGAAAATGAACCAGTTCGGTCTGACTTAGTTTTATCAATTGTAGAGTCTTTTTTCAAGCTCGCGAATCTGATATAAATCCTGCCTTCCTCATCAAAGTACTTACAGGACTCCACAGGACTTCTTATTGCATACTGTGCTTGCTTGGGGATATTCGTGCCTTAAATAAAGATATTAAAATTAAATGCATATGTGACACACATAAACACCTTTGATATAATGGGCTCACGTTAATTTACAGAGTTATGCTGTGGGGAAAAAGTAAACCTTTAGGAAAAAATGTTGTAATTTCGGAAATACTTTTAAATGTAGCTGGAGAAAGTTACTAACCACGAGATGTGTTATGTGCAAGTATTTTAAAGCTATTTTAAAATATAAATTATGATTTGGTTTAAAATTTAATCTTACAGTCATGCATTTTAATTATAAATATATAATTAAAATAATTGCCATAATTGGCTCATCACCAGAAAACATTTTATAAATCTAGCCCTTCTTTCAATAAATTATATTATGGTAACTCTAATAAATCATGTTAAAGCAATGACTAGAAGATGTTTAATGTTTAACTTCGACTAGTAAAAGTTACTGTATTTTCAAACAAATTTGGACTTTTTGTAAGGGACTACTGCAAATTATGACTGGTTATCATTATGTCATCACCTACTTGCATCTCAGGAGTACCATAAGCAGCCAGTGTGTCACTCACAATCTGTACACTTTCTTAAAGATGATATTTCATCAATATCACATTAGAACCATTCATTTCTTACAGAAAATTGTAAAATCAATCCCCCTTCCCCTTCCCCTTCCTTTCTTTGAGATGGAGTCTCGCTCTGTTGCCCAGACTGGAAGGCACCGGAGCTGGAGTGCAGTGGCGCGATCTCAACTCGCTGCACCCTCTGCCTCCCGGGTCCACCTGAGTAGCTGGAATTACCGATGCGCGTCACCACTCCGGCTATTTTTAAAAATCTTTTTTTGTAGAGATGGACTTTCGCCATGTTGCCCAGACTGGTCTCAACCTCCCGGGCTCAAGTGATCCTCCCACTGCAGCCTGCCGAGTAGCTGGGACTACAGGAACCTACCACCATGCCCGTCTAATTTTTGGGGGGATGTAGGGGAAGGGTATATATTTTTTTTTTTTGGTGGAGACAGGGTTTCACCATGTTGCCCAGGCTGGTCTCCAACGCCTGGGTTCAAGCAATCTGACCCCCTTGACCTCCCAAAGTGATGGGACTACAGGCGTGAGCCACTACCCATTATTATAATAGCAGTGGCCCCACTGCTTGCTCTTTCAGTTTTCCAATTGTGATGATGAATTTGCACCAATTTATTTACCGTTTTTGGTAAAATTCCACAATGCCTAAGGTTCTGTCTTCTGAACCTAACTCGTTGGTTTGTAGTCTATGACCCTGATCAAAGAAAACTCAGCTCGTCCAAAGAGAAAATGAGGCCAATTGATTAACATCCTAAGCTAAGACTAATGACTCATAAGCACCTGTATGCTAATTTATATGATCATACTAGGTATTAGGCACCCCT